GACATGACGCGGCCACGCGTGCGGCCCGTGGGTTGTGCACGGCAGCCGGTGCTCCACGCGTGCTCCCCGTGGGTGTTCCAGGGAGCCCGTGATCCACGCGTGCTCCCCGTTGGTTCTACACGGGTCCCGATGCTCCACGCGTGCCTCCCGTGGGTGTTTCAGGGGTGCCTGTGATCCACGCATGCTCCCTGTGGGTATTGCGCGGGTGCTGGTCCTCCACGCGTGCTCCCCGTGGGTTCTGCATGGGTGCTGGTCCTCCACGTGTGCTCCCCCGTGGGGGTTCCAGGGTGCCCGTGATCCATGCGTGCACCCTGTGAGTTCTGCATTGGTGCCGGTGCTCCACCCATGCTCCCCGTGGGTTCTGCGTGGGTGCCGGTGCTCTGTGTGTGCCTCCCGTGGGTGTTCCAGGGGTGCCTGTGCTCCATGCATGCTCCCTGTGGGCACTGTATGGGTGCCGGTGCTCCCATGGGCATTGCAATGCAGCCAGGAATCTGCCGGTGCCGAATCCTGCCACGACCTGGATTCCCTCCCCGAGGCAGGAGCCCACGTGGGCAGCAGGAGAGCACAGCCCAGGGCTCACCTCTGAGTTTTACCAAAACTTCACCATTTCAGCAAATACCATCAGGGAAATTGATTTTTTTCCCCGGTGCAAAGCACATAAGTGCCAGCGGCCACTGCTCGGGCTGCTCCAGCACCGGCCCTCCCAGCCTGGCTGGATTTGGCAGTGAGTCTGGGCTGCACCATCCCAAAAACCTGCCGGGAGGCTGTGGGCTGGCCGTGGCCGGACTCTGTACTTATCCCATTAGGGCGCACAGCAGCCTCCCATTAAGGTTTCCTGGGGCGGTTTACCCGCCTGGCCCAGCTGGGATGTGAGCTCTGTGCTGGGACCTAGGTGGTCAGCACCAGTCCTTTGTTGCGGCATCACCCGAGAGTGTATCCAGCCACCATGGCTGGTTCAGTCTTCCGGAGTTGTTCCTGCCTCTCTGGCGCCGGGTCTGGGCTTTAACCCTCACTGGAGCTGTTGGGGTGCAGCCGGGTCCCCCCTGCCACAGCATTGTGGATGGTCTTGGAGGCCTGCAGATGATGTCATCTGGATGACCTCATGTGGATGACATCATCGGGATGACATGCAGACACTGTTGCCTCCAGTGCACTGGCAGAGGTGCCCTGGGCCAGGCTGGTGCTGGCTGCAGTGCCAAACTGGGACAAGGTGCCGGTGGCTGGGCAGTGGACTATGGTCCTTGCTGGGGACCTCACTGGGGTCTTCCCTGGGGACCCTGCTGGGGCCATCACCAGGGTCCTTGCTGGGGACCCCGCCAGAGTCCTTGCTGGGGACCTCCCTGGGGTCTTCACTGGGGGCCTGGCTGGGGCCATCACTTGGCTTCTCACTGGGGTCATCACTGGGGTCATCATTGGGGACCTGGTTGGGGACATCACCAGAGTCCTTGCCCCGGACCTGATCGAGGTCCATGCTGGGACCTCACCATTCAGTGTGCCACCCCAAAAACCAGGGGCCATGCCCCCTCCTTCCCTCCATCCACCTCTCGCAGCCCCC